GGTGCGTCCTGCGAGCAGTCCTGCGACTCTGTCGACTGCCATCGACCGCTCATCCCGCTTCCTTGCGCACGTCTGTGCAGGGGACCTAGGACTGGCCTCAGGCACGACAGTTCTCAGAGCTCACAGGACTCGGGAAAGCTGTTGCACTCTTGGTCACCCCGATTAAAATTAGCAGAGGGAAAAGGTGCACGGGGCCAAGTCCAGGAGAGATCGGCACAAGCTTCCGGACACTCCTCCTGGCAGTTGCACCGAGGCGGCACGATGTGGGCAGCAGAAGCCCTGACCAGTCGGCTCTTGGGGAGGCGTGGTGCCCGGGCAGCCCTGCGCAACCAGAGGCCAGGGGCGGGGGAAGGAAGGGGTCCTTATGACAACTCTGCTGAGTTGCCCTCCAGAAACATGTCACGAAGAGGTTGTAACAGGCACACTCCAGCAGCAGAGAGCAGGCAGCCCTGCCCTGGACATGCAGCCGCGGAGCTGGAGGGACGGGGTGGGGGCCACTGGGCCTGGTCCGGCCTTCTTACTGCACAGATGGGACCCACCACGCTCCGGGGCGTCCAGCCTCTCCCACGTCCCCACTTCCCAGCAGACTAGATCAGTGCCATGAACTGAAACAGCACTTTTCAAATCCCACACTGAACTGGCACCTTCTAAAGTGTGTGTATATTTCAGTGACGAAGATCGAATGATTTGGGTCACGGCTCCTTAAAAGTCATTTACTCATTTTTTTCCTCGTTTTTGTCATTCTCAATGAGGGCAAACTTTTTTGACGTGTCTATTTTTAAAAAATCTTTATTGCTTTTGTGATTATACAGTACGTGTAAAAATTCAAGTATTATAAAATGTGACTTTAAAAAGTAAATTTAAAAAACTTATGAAATAAATGCTCATTTCAAAAACTTCAAGTATTATAAAATGCATGATTTAGAAAATTAGTCCTTTGTGATCCAGTCACCCCACCCCACCCCCCAGGTTTCCTGCTCTTCACACGCAGTGATGGTCTCTGCATGACTGGCACATACGTGTGAGACACACCCATGTCACACTGGGCATGGCCGAGCCACCTGCCTGCCTCGTGCACTTAACAGCCAGCTTCCCACTTCTCACATAAATGCCCGAAACCGTTACAGAGTTGTGCATTATGTAGATGTGTCAGGTTGAGTCGTGAAATTAATGCTATCTATCTGACCATTTTGGACCCATAAAAACAGCAATTTCCTATGGTTCAGCATAATGCCACAAGCAGCCCTACAGACATTTGGAGGGTTTCCCACCTTCTGCAGTTAGAAATAATACAGCAGTGAATATCCTTGTATTTTACCCCAAAAGGGTCACGACTCTTTTGAGCATTTAGAAGAGACCAGAGGACGGAGCACTGCGTTTGCCCCCAGAGGAGCTGAGGGCTCACACAAGCTCCCTGAGGCCCGAGTGGCCAGGAGAGAGGGGAGCCGCCTGGCTGGGGACACCGCACGCACACGTGGGTGAAGCCGGAGGGAGGCGACTCCTGAGCCCGGGCGTCCTTGGAGCCACCAGAATCGTCCTCTGGCAGCTGGGCTTGCAGAGGTCAGGAGACAGCTTCAGAAATGTGCTCAGACCAGGATCTTCCAATAGTCCGGGAATATCGGAGTGGCCAAAAATATAAAAACAGGAGCACCTGCTGGAAGGACGCACGTGCAGCCCGGGCTGCGTCACGGGCGCTGGCGAGCACGCCGCTTCCTCCGGGGCACCGCCGGGGCTCGGTAGATCCTGCCGGGGTCGCAGAGGAGTTTGTGGGTGGTCTTCTTGTGGCAGGCGATGTGGACTAACTTGAGGTTCTCAGAGGTGAAGAGCAGGCGATAGAAGTATTTCCAGTCCACTTCTCTGCCCTCGGCGGCGTGGACGGCCGCGGCCAGCGTGGGGACGACCGTGCGCTTCTTTTCTATCCTGCAAAGCAAGGTTAGAGACGCCATCTCTGCCATCCAACTTGTCACAAGCCCCCAGGCACCTTCCAGGCCTCATTTTCTGTTAAACCACAGAGATGGTTGAATGTGGTGTCTACTCGGCTGAGACATCCATCAAGGTTTGGCGGCTTCCAGGAGAGACAGGCGGAGGTGGTTAAACTCGGCAGAGGAACTGCACTCAGGCCGTCCCAGACAGAGCAGGGCGGGCGCTGAAAGGGGCTCACCCTGTGGCCATCAAACGAGCACTGGGGACATCCCTCCACAGGCTGGCGGGGGTGCCAGCGCCACACGCGGCCACGCCCACCGGGCCAGCCAGCCTGGCAGAGCCTGATGCCGGCCACCCGGGCTTCTCACATTTTACAAGTAGACGGGGGACTTCCCTGGCGGTCCAGTGGTTAGGACTCAGCGCTTTCACTGCTGAGGGCGCGAGTTCAACCCCTGGTCGGGAAACTAAGATCCCACAAACTACGCAGCACAGCCAAATTAAAAAAATAAATAAAAGTAGGTAGTGCGTACTTTTTTAAATACCGAAAAGTACACAGAGAAAAATGAGAGCCAACCGTAGTCCCATCACACTCACTCACCAACTTGGCTTCCTTGGTTCACACTTTGGCTATGTGCAGACTCAGCAAAAAATCACACGATACTGTACGAACGTTTTTAAACAGAATCTTACAAATGAAGCTAAAGTCACCTCCAGCTACAGCCTTCGCTCTCATTTCCCGCCTTCCCTTCCCAAAGACGATCTCTATTACGGGTCTGACATGTGTCTTCCCAAATTTCATCCTGTACTTTTATACGCATATGTGTGTCCACTTAAAACAATCGTGATGTTATCTTTGTGTAAACTGCTTTCACTTATAAGCAACAGTTCAAAAGACCTCACTAAGTAACCAGCCTAGAAGCTTGTAAACTTGACAAGACGGAATTGGAAACAGCACAGCTCGGGGGGCTGGCGGCAACTAGACCGGCATAGAATCCTGTCCCCCATGACCCAGAAAAGGTGAGTAACAATAAATAAGTATCTGAGAGTAAAAGAAAGAAGGCGGCACCCCTCTGCAGACACAAAAACCAATGCTGGACCACAGGACTGAGCCACACTCCACAGCTCAACAGGGTTCCGGTCCTCATGGAGGCCCCAGGGGCCCTCAAGAGCCAGGAGGGGTGGGCCGAGATTCCCACCCCAGCCATTAGGGGAGGAACAGGTGCTGCCGGGGGGTCCAGGGCTTTGGGAGGGGAAGGAAAAGCCTCTGCATCAATTACCAACTGCTGCATAACCAGCCCCCCAAAACCTAGCGGTTCTGTGGGTTGGCCTGGCCCAGTCACAGGGCTGCACTCTGCTGGGGGGTTGGCCAGGGGCTGGCCCTTCTCCCCGCGGGATCTTTCATCCTCCAGGAGGCCAAGTCAGGCTCCCCGGCGTGGCGAATGTGCAAGCCCTTGCCAGGCACCCCCGGGTTCCCGTCTGCTTGATGCCGTGGGGGGACGAGGTAAGGACACCGGCAGGTACTGGTCACAGGGCACCACTAGTGTGACCGTCTTCCAGTCACACGGAAAACCAGGACCCTCAGCCCACCTCTCATACGTCCAACTCCACACTGCACGTGGTAGGGAACCCGCGAGCAAGAAAAGCCCACTGAAAGCCCCGGGCACCTGGTGGAAACATGCAGAACCGCTCGGTGGGGACACCCGGGCCATCTGCAGACACCTCCCACCGAGGATGAACTCACGGCCCAGACACACACAAAGCACAAGGAATGCACTGCAATGCACAGGAGGATGCAGCCAACGGTGGCGCCCCCAAGAACCCCCAGGGATCTTAAAACAGACCACTCCCTCTGCCGCCAACTGCAGAGCTCAGGGCCCCGAGACCACTCTCAGGATCCACAGTTCGCTGAAAGGACTCGGAAGGCCCTGAGAGCCTTCACACTTACAGTTACGGTTTACAGCCACGAAAGCATGCAAATTAAAATCATCCAAGGTTAGGGACACACAGGGCGGGGAGTCCAGGGCAGCTCCGGCCGTCCCCTCCCCAGGGAGTCATGGACAGTGCTCCCAGCAGTGGTGGTGACAACACACGGAGAATCAGCAGACAGGGTCGCTCCCTGAGCCTCAGCATCCAGAGTCTTTACTGGGGCTCTGCCATGTGGGCACAGCTGACCACCCACAGGCTGACCTCATCCCCAGCACCCCCAGAGGGCAAGCTGAAACCACGTGACCCAAACCCCCCACCTTGGTCACACTGTTAGGCTGTCCAGTGATCCCCAGCCCCAGGGAAACAGAGACACTAGCAGGCAGGACACTCTGAGGGCTCAGAGGTGACCTCCCAGGGGTCAGGGGCAAAGGCCAGACCTCTCTTTACACACAACCATAAGATAAGTGTATTTAAAATAAAAAATAAAAATGAAAGCAGACTGGCATGAAGAGGAGTGTTTTTTAAAAATAACCCAAAAGCACTTGTAGAAAGGAAATATGTACTCTGCTGCATGCACAGACTGAATGCATCAGAGCTGAAGAGAGAATGCGTGAACTGAATGTATAGGAAGTGTATTAGCTCGGACCACCGTAACAAAATACCATAGACTGGGCGGCTTAAACAACAGAAATCAGTTTTCTCACCATTCTGGAGGCTGGGATTCTGAGATCAGAGGGCCAGCGTGGTTGGGTTCCAGTGAGAAGTGTCTTCCTGGCTCGCAGACGGCTGCCCCCTCGCTGCGTCCTCACACAGTGGAGAGCAAGTCCTCTCCTTATGAGACCACAGTCCTATCAGATCAGTCCTATCAGATCCTCCCTTCCAACCTCATTTACCCTTAATCACCTCCTGAAGAGCCTATGCCCAGACACAGTCACCCTGGGGTTAGGGCTTCAGCACATGAATTTGGGTGACACAGTTCAGTCCGTGGCAGCAAGTCCCCAGGAAAGGGAATGTGTAAGAGCAGACGCAGCACAAGGAGGACGGAGGAGCTGGTCCAGGTACGTGACGGGGAGTCAGAGAATCAACGCTGAAGAGCTTCCCAAAATTAAAGACAGACACATCTTCAGAGCAGAGAATACAAGTCCCGGTCAGAATTTAAAATGGAGATCTGTACTAGATACACATCATTTTCAAAGAGAAAGGGAAAGTCTAAAGCTGCCACAGAAAAGGCAGAGGAGACTGACGGCAGCCTTGTGAACAGACGCCAGAAGATGAGGCGTCATGTCTCCAAAGCACTGCGGGCCGAGTGGCCGCCGGCCTGGAGTCACGTCAGCTCAACAAGCGCTCAGGGCCTTTCTATGACCCCCCGACCCTCATCGTCAACAGGGAGTGAGCCTGAGTGCCATGTGATCTGTGGGTGAGCGTAATCGAGGACCGACCCGGGGAACACGCCCACGCTTTGTGCAGGGCTCACGGCGAGCAGAGGGGGTGACACCAAGGTGACTCCACGGGGCCTGAGGGCAAGGGGGACGCAATTCTGCTTCCGACGTGCTTCCCTCAGGGGCCCCGCTGAGGGGACACAAGCAGACATCTATTTCCCAAACCACCAAAGGGTGGGGTGATGGGCAAGGGAAAAGGAAAACTCGGTTAAACACACAGAAAGCACAAGGGAGACCCAAAAGGGAAGGACTGGGAACCCAGAATAGAGGGCTAAAGTTCAAACACATTTCCTATTTATTCCACCAACACTGGGTGAATGGCCACAGTGGCCAGACGCTGTCCCAGCAGCAGAAAGACGCTGGGGACGTGCCAACACCACTGACCTGGCAGAGCCCGATCCTGCCGGGGAGCACGGCCATCACCACACAGGCAGAGGACGGCAGCCGTCAGCTCTGATGGGACCATCTCGGACCCCATGGGAACAAGAGCAATAACACGGCCAGTGGGACAGTCACCCAAACCCGGAGACACGGCAGAGTCGACAAGAAAGGGGCGGAAAACCGGCACAGCAGCTTAAATCCAGCCACGCAGATCTGAGGCCACTCGCACTCACACCCCCGCCACTGAGGCTCAGAGGAGGCGTGAGCGACCACAGCAGCGAGTGGGCACCAAGAGAGGCAACTAGGAATCCGGCAGCAACTGAAAACAAATGCCCACTTCTAACCAGTTCACGGAGCAGCGATAAAATCATGATGGAAATGACAGAATCCTTACACCTGAATAACAATAAAATTACCGAACTCACAGGTGGTAGCTAAAGCTAAACTGATAGCCTGAAATGTACATGTCAGAAAACAGGAGAGATGCAAATTAACTAATAAGCAAGAAGAAACCCAAAAAAGTAGAAAGAAGGGATACAAAATAAAAGCCAAATGAATGAAGTTAAGGAAAAGGCTGAGGATGGTTTTGAAAAGAGGGAGGGAAGCGCTGGTCCCAAACAGGAAGACTTCTCGCAACACCGGGTATTGGAGGAGGCGCCCTTAGCCCTCGGGGAACAGGACCCCTGCCCCGCCGCCCAGCCCACACGCCAGGAACTCGGGCGCGGAACATCCTCCCAGGACAGGCTGCACCCCCGTACGTGCACCCCTAAGCCCGCACATGCGTGGTGCAGCCCTCGTGGTGTGAGGGGGCCCGAGGGGTGAGAGAAGAGGGCAGGCTGCGGACTGCAGGCCACTGCGGCCACGTCCCAGAGCCCTGAGAAGTCCGCCGCCTGGGACCAGGAACCTGGCCTGGGCCGAGGCGACACAGTCCGGGGGGAGGACAGCACGCGCTGTACTGACAGTTTGTTACTCTTTAGTGTTTAACTATTTAAACACGTGGCTTGTGGCTTCAGCCCCATCAGAGTCGGGGTGGGCCTGTGTCCATGTCTCAGGGAAACAATCAGACCAGTGTTTTCAAACCCCCGCTGCCTGCTGTCAAAACTGCATTTTAGGGCTTCCCTGGTGGCGCAGTGGTTGAGAGTCCGCCTGCCGATGCAGGGGACGCGGGTCCGTGCCCCGGTCCGGGAGGATCCCACATGCCGCGGAGCGGCTGGGCCCGTGAGCCACGGCCGCTGAGCCTGCGCGTCCGGAGCCTGAGCTCCGCAGCGGGAGAGGCCACAGCAGTGAGAGGCCCGCGTACCGCAAAAAAACTGCATTTTAAATTAAAAGCCAGTACATGTATCTATGTGGACGTATGTGTATTTAGAAGAGCGGCAATGTAACGGGCACGTTTCAGGAGACATGACTCAGGGTCTGGCGTGCACGCTGCTGCGTCATCCGTGCTCTCTTCTAGGCCGGCCTGTTTCCCTCCTCAGATGCTGGCGGTGTGGCCCCTAGTGGGCCGTGAAAAGACAGGAGCAGACAGATGGCCTGGAGCCCCGAGATCATCTTGGGGTGCTCCAGGCAGGTCAGAAACAGCGCAGCCAACCAGTAGAGAAAAACTAGGATATCTTCATGATACAGGAAGGGAAGGATTTCACACAAAAAAGAAGAGATACATCTCAGTACACTGGAATTTAAACCCATCACGATCAAAGACATCCCAGAAGCGAAAGACAAGCCCAAACTGTAAAAACATACCTGTAACACAAAGAGCCACCAAAGAATCAGTAACCAGGATGTGTAAAGAATTCCTACAGATTAATTAGAAAAGCCAAAGCCCAGTAAAAACTGAGCAGAGGAAGCAAGAGCCACCTCACAGAACACAAGTGGCCAATAAACACACGGACATTCAACCTTCCTAGTAATCAGGCAAATGAACTGCAACAGGAGAACCTGTTTCTCGCCCATCAGACTGGGAGAATGCAAAAAGAGTACTGATACCAAGAGGTGGTGAAGCCTGGGGCGTCGGTGGGACCACCCTGGAGAGCAACCCGGGAACACGCAGGACGGGAGATAGGGGACGTTAGGAGCCAGCACCCCACGCAGGCAAAAATTCACATGTAACTTTACAGGAGGCCCTCTGCGTGCAGGGTTCCTTCGTATCCACGGCTTGGTATCCGCAGAGTCAACCGATGTGGACGGAGCAGTACTCTAGTATTTCCTACTGAAAACTCCATGTATAAGTGGAGCCATGCAGTTCAAACGCCACGTTGTTCAGGGATCAACAAGAAAAGCATCTCAGTTAAAATAATAAAATTTTCCATTTCTGCCCTTGTTTTTAGAATGAGCTAATACACACATAAAATGATCCTGCCAGCCAAGACTTGCTAACCCTGCTTGAAGCAGGAAACGCCTTACACGTCACAACGCAGAGCTCCCGCTCCCTGGGCGAGGCAGGGACCCCACACAGCTGCGCCCGTGCCACGCTGACCGGGCCCGCAGCTGCCGATCACTGCCTCCGCCCACAGGTGGGCGCTGGTGGTGGGAGGGGACGCGCGGGGTTGCACAGGTGCAGACGGGGATCTGAGCCCACCGCGCTGAGTGACACCCGCCACGCAGCCCAGGAGCGTCAGCACCGCACGATCCCGGCAACCCCTCCCACGCCACACAGCCACGACGTCTGTGGGTCTGTGACACATGCGCTGGGTGTGTGGTGCACCAGGCAGCCCGCCAGCCGCAGAGGCCGGGCAGCGCCAGGTCGCAGGTGCACTCCGGGTCTGTGGTTGTGGCCTTCAGCCCCACGCACTCACACGTGGTCCAGGTTCCAGGTGCTAAAGAGGACACGGCTCTCCCTGTTACTGTAGGGGTTGATGGAGTGTCTGGAAGCACAGTCGTCCACGTCAAAGGGACCCTGGGCCGAAAGAGAGAAGGTAAAGGCCACGAAGCCAAGGAGCATCTCACTGCCGCTCCACCCACGACGGAGGCACCCCTTGGCGGGGGTCAGGCCCCTACAGAGAGTCTCTGTTCAGGAGGTAAAGCATCCTGCCCTGGAACGGCACCCCATTCCCTCATGACCCCGGGGTGATGCTCTGCGTCTGCAAAGGGGACAAGTGAGCCTACTGGCCGTTTGGGGCGCCAGCTTTCCCCCACGCTGCTCCCATCACACGACTGCTCCCCTCCTGTCTCCTCCACGGCCTCCCAGCATTTCCCTGAGGCCCTGCACAGGCTGGGTCTCGGAGACGTACGAAAACATCTCCTCTTCCCTGAAGCCCCAACCCCACTCCGGCCCTCGAGGGCCCTCACAGCCGCCCCGCAGGAAGCCTACTGCCCGACTTGCTCAGAGGCCTTTGACCCAGAGTCTGCCCAGGCCGGGGTGAAGGGTCTGGTCTCTGTCCCCACCACACACACTGCCAGGCTCCAGGCACACACCCCCGGGAGGGAGAGGTCAGCTGTGTGTGAGGTGTGACGTGAAGCCAGCTGGGAAGGAACAGCGTTTGGATGCTCAGGGACCGTCACGCTTGGGAGGGGCTGCCCGGTGGGGGCAGAGGCATGGGGGCCTGTGGGAGGGAGGCCGCGCCCACCCCTGCCCACTCTGGGCCCAGCGCCAGCGGCAGGAGGGGATTTTACTGGAAGTGCAACGTACAGCTTGCAAAGAGCAAGATGTGCCCTTAGCTGTCTCCACAGCTCAGAACGCTGCTTCCAGCTGATGCCACCCACCACGGTGCCACGCTCAGCCAGAGCCCGAAATGTCACGTCCAGCCACCACCCTGAAATCTGGATGCTCCCACATCCAGGCTTTCCCAAGGGAGCAAAACACGCAACAGCCACCCAAACGAATGCCATCTCTCCTCTCACACCAGGGCGGGGTCTCGGCTCACGAGCAGTTGTGTCCTGCCGCCTGCACCCGCCAAAGCGGTCCTCAAGTGAAGGCCCTGAACCAGCATCACTGCGGAACGTGTCAGAAATGCAGGCTCTCAGGCCTCACCAGAGCTGCTGAAACAGAAGCCCCGGGAGGGGCCCAGGGGGCTCACGAGCCCTCCAGGGGGTTCTGACACCACTGACGTCTGGGAGCCACTGGCTGAGACCCTGATACCCGAGGGCTGCCCCAGCTCACCAGGCCTTGACCGGGGTGGCCCAGGCCACAGGCTCGTGGCTTACCTGGCAGGAGAACCAGCCTTCAGGCGTGCAGAGCCGGCGGCTGGCCTTCGCCCCCCTGTCAAAGTAGCTGCTGTTGTACCGGGCGGCCTGGAGCTTCTGGCACATGGCACCCACGACCCGCAGGTACTCTCCCCGAGCCTCCGTCACAACCAGGGAGGCGCCAGCCGTCACCTAGAAGAGGCAGGGGCATCGCTGAATGCTGGCCACGCGCCCGAAAAACCCACCGCCGCCGGGGTCCCGGTCCACCAACGCCACAGCCCTCAGAGCCCCCGCCCCCTGGGGTCCCAGCGTGGCCCCGAGGTCGGGGATCCGGCCCCCGCCCCCTGGGGTCCCAGCATGGCCCTGAGGTCTGGGGGTCTGAGCTCACACCGACTGTGCCTGCCTGACCCTGGGAAATTTCTCTGGGCCCATGAGATGGAGCTTTGGTCACAATCAGATAAGAACTCAAGCTCCAGGCATCCTGGCCGCCCTGTCTCCCAAGCACTGCCCACTGCTTTGCAGCAAGAAACCTGAGAGAAAGTGTGCAGGTGAGGAGTGACCAGCGCACTGCCGCCCACTGGGGCGCAGGTGGAGAGTTGCACCCATGGGCACAGCTGGGCCCACACTGAGCGCTGGGCAGAAGCGAGGAGACCGCCTGGCCCAGTGGGAGTGACAGCAGGGCAGCAGATGGGTCATCACTGGACAGGGGGCTGCACCCAGCAGGGGCTGGGAATGATGCCCTGGAGATGCCCGCCAGCCAGCGCAGGGAGCACGTCCTCGGCAACAGAAGGAGCCCGAGGGTGGCCACTTTCAGGCAGAGATGGGGAGCAGGGGGAGAGGGGGAGCTGGACCAGGCCCCAGGACCTCAGACACCCCAGTCCTGAGGTTTCCTTCTGTGTAACGGGATGTCAACAGAGCGCATGTGGGCAGTTCTGCAGCACCGACGTGCGGCCGGGTGCAGGTGAGGGGTGGGGGTGGTGTCTGCAAAAGACGAACAAGACGCCCCACGGCTGACATCCAGCCACGCAGCACAGGGGCAACGGCTCCCGCGGGCCTCTGCGGGGAGCGCCCAGCCCACCCCCGGGCTCCAGCACTGGTTCTCTGAGGAGCTGGCACAGAGGGCTGAGCCTGAGGACCCTTGCCTGCCGCTGCCCCCAAACCCACCCCCTGCCGCCTGTCCTCCCATGAAGGGTGGAAGAGAGCTGCCCAGAACCCAGCCTCAGGGGCCAGTCAAGCACCCAGGTTATCCTCCAGAGAGGGGGCAACGCACCCCCAAGGCACCACAGGCACCAGTCCCCTCCGCGGCCTGCCCTGCTGCAGGTCATCTGTCAGCTGGGTCACCTCCCTGCTGAATGGGAGCGGGTCAGAGTGCACTGGGCCCGAGGACCCGTTTCTCCTTGGAGGTGAAGTGCGTCTCCATCGGGAGAGTTTCGGCTCTCAACCTGTATCGGCTTGCTTCTCACGCCTCCCGGAGGGGAGCCCAGAGTCAAAGCCTGGACCCACCATGACTCGGACCCCCTGCTGCTGCTTCTTGGAGGTCAGACAGCTGCGCCTCGCACAGACGGGAAAGTCAACGGCAGCGCTGGGGACAGGAGAGCAGCTGCCCCTCCCCACCCACCGTGTGGGCGTCCATCCAAGCTAACGGTGGACGGAGATGGCTACTTGGGATGAGTTCACGTCGAAACTGAACCGCCCAACAGATGAAGGCGTACAAAGGTGGGTTCTACTCACAGCCCGTAGGGAGAGTTCACACAGAGTGCAGGGAGGCAAAGTCTGCAACCCCGGACCCAGCTTGAGCTCTGACAAGTGGAAGCCAGATGTCGGCCGTGCGGGGGGCTCCCCAGGCAAGCGGCCCATCCACTGCTGGCTCACATCCACCTGCACCCAGACTGGCATCCACAGCAGCACCTGCCCCTGAACCTGCACCCACGCCAGCCTGTGCGCTCCTCCAACATCCACGCTGGCCCTGGAGCAGAGTCCCAACAGCAGAACCCGCTTCCTAAACCTGCCTGGCACACCCAGCATCAGTGTGGACCTACCTCTCTCAGGTAGCTCCGGATCCGGCTCTCACAGCTGTATCTCAGGTAGCCAGACTTGTTCCTAAACCGGGACTCCAAACCTGCCAGAAGGAGAGACAAGACGCCTGGAGCCCAGGGCCCGTGCCCTCCCAGGAGGGGCGGAAGGTGAGGGCCATTTTGCTCAGCTCCATCTAGAAACGTTCTAATGGGGAACTGCACGCTATCCCTGGATTTTGTTCATTTATGGAGAAGTCTGGTCCACCAGCACAGAGCATCTCAAAGGCTACCGAGGAGCTCCTGCCTGGTGGCACCTCCAAGCCCCTTTCCCAAGAGGGCTGCAGTCGCTCAGGGCTCCCTCCGCCTGGCTTGAGAGGCCAATCGAAAAGGTGGGAGCAGCCCAGGTGAATGGATAAAGAAGATGTGGTCCACCCAGGTGATGGAATATCACGCAGCCTCAAAGAGGAAGGGAATCCTGACACCTGGTTCCACATGGATGAACCATGGAGACATTAAATGCTGAGTGAAGTAAGCCAGATGCTGATCCCACTCATACGAGGCCCCTGGAGGAGTCAGAATCACAGGGACAGGAAGAAGGCTGGGGGCCGGGGCTGCGGAGGGGTGGGGAGCTATGTTCAATGTGGGCAGAGCTTCAGTTTGGGAAGATGAAAATGTCTGAGGACAGATGGTGGTGACGCTGCACAACAACGGGAAGATATTTAATGCCAGCGAACTATATGCCTGAAAACGGTAAAGATGGTGAATTTTATCTTATGCCTACTTGACCACAATTGAAAATTAAATAAAAATAAAACGGCCAGTCCCAGGGCTGCCTGGCCCCTGGCCCCACGCTTGGGGAGCCCCTGGGTCTGGGAACTGACACAGATCCCATGTCCCAGGAAGCTGGCCCGAGGAAGCACTCCCCACCCGCTCCCTCCAGGCCCGAATCCATAAGGCACCTTCGAACCACGGCGCATCCTCGGCCCTGGTCTCGGCCGCGATGTTCTCGCTGACGGTGCCCAGCAGGTCGGCCAGGAGCTTCTGCCGCAGCGGGGCCCGCTCGTCCGAGAGCATCTGCCGGGCGGCCTGGATGAGCTCTGCGTGCGGCTCCTGGAACACGCTCAGGAAGCGGCTGATGTCACTCGCATCTACCACCGAAGGGAACAGAGAGGCCACCAGGCTTTGGAGCACTGCCTCGGGGAGACCACCTCCTCCCCCGGGACCAGCCAGACACCCTGCCCCGACAGTCACCAGCCCAGGGTTCCGGGCCTTGGGCCTGGCTGCCCGCGCCCGGCTGGTGCGAGGGCAGACAGGGAGGACATGGGACACAGTTTGGAAAACGAAAGCCACCCAAGCGAGTTGCCACCCTTCCCCTCAGCCTTCCTTCCTCCAAGTGAAATCGCCTCGTCTTGGGACCTCCCTCGAGACCTCTCACACTCCAGGTTCATCCCTTCACTGTCCTGCTGGCTCCCAGGGCCTTTCCGCTCACACCCGAAAGCAGCAAGCCCTCCGAGCAGGCACTCGGGACCGAGGGCTTCACAGCGTCCTGCAAAAAGAAGTCCAGACGCATGCGAGGAACAGTCCGCACAGTCCCGAGGGTCATTCCAGGGATATGGGGCCACTCAGGGTCCAAACATCAATTAGTGTGATCCACCCTCAACAGGCTAACCAAGAAAAGTCACACGATCATAGCAACTGGCACAGAAAGACAGAGAAAATCTTCAAGACCTAGAGCTTCGTGAAAATGTCTCAGACTGAACACCAAAGCCATACACGTAGAAAGATAAAAAGGGACAAGTTGGATTTCATCAAAATTAAAAATTTTACTCCATGAAAGACGCGGTTAAGAGAACGAAAAGACAAGCTGCAGGGACTCCCCTGGTGGCGCAGTGGTTAAGAATCCGCCTGCCAAAAAATCCAGGGCTTACCTGGTGGCACAGTGGTTAAGAATCCGCCTGCCAATGCAGGGGACACAGGTTCAAGCCCTGGTCAGGGAAGATCCCACATGCTGCGGAGCAACTAAGCCCATGCGCCACAACTACTGAGCCTGCGCTCTAGAGCCTGCAAGCCACAACTACTGAGCCTGTGCTTTATAGCCCACACGCCACAACTACTGAGCCTGAGCTCTAGAGCCCGCACACCACAACTACTGAGCCTGTGCTCTACAGCCCGTGCGCCACAACTACTAAGCCTGCGCTCTAGAGCCTGCGCGCCACAACCACTGAGCCCAAGTGCCACAACTACTGAAGCCTGCACCCCTACAGCCCATGCTCCGCAACAAGAGAAGCCACCGCGAGGAGAAGCCCGCACACCGCAACAAAGAGTAGCCCCCGCTCGTCACAACTAGAGAGCCCGCGGACAGCAATGAAGACCCAACACAGCCAAAAAAAATAAATAAAATAAATAAATTTATTTTAAAAAAACCACATATACTCTTTGGCTCAGCAATTCTACTCTTAGGAATCTTTCTCACAGAAATAAAAGCGTAATGGTCATAAGAACATATTTATTTAAAAAAAGACAAGCTACAGACTGGGAGAAAATATCAGTGTCAACAACACATCTGACAAAGACTCAACCAGAATATATTAGGAAAAAACTCACAAAACTCAACCGTAAAAAACACCCCATTAGACAATGGACAAAAGACACTTCACAAGAAGGTTTACAGATGGTAAATCAGCCCAGGAGAAGATGGTCAACACCATCCGTCGGGAGGGAAATCCAAGTCCAGACACCATCGCACACCCACCAGAATGGCTAAAGTGAAAAGAGCGACAATGCCAAGAGCTGGAGAGGCCATTCTCGTCCCTCCTGTGGAGATAAGATGGGACCGCAGCTCTGGAAAGCAGCGTGCAGTTCCTTTTCTTTTCTTTTTTAACAACTTTATTGAGACTTCATTCTCTAGAAGTACACGGAGGAAGAATGCTTGCCACTAGGAGCGCACAGCAGACATGTCACCTTCACTGCTGACAGCAGAGTCCCAACCGAGGGGCAAGGCCACACCTGCACTGCTCTCGGGCTTCTCTCTCTGCCCTTTCAGCAGAGGAGGTAGGACAACCTCGGTCCTCAGAGCTCCACTTCCTTCCCCAGGCACCAGAAACATCTCCTGAAATGGAAGCCCCTTTGCACAAGGGCCAGATGACCCTCCCAGGAAAAGGGCATACACCTGGCCACTGGCCTATGGCTCCAGAGTATCACTTGTCATCCAGCACAGACCCACCTAAAGAACCAACTCCAAAAGCACCTGCTCCAATAAGGCAGCCCCGACAGGAGCCTAAGGACGGTGTGTCCGCAAACCCGACAGAGACCAGACGCTGAGCATAGCAACAGCCACCAGCCCGTCCCTTAGAAAGTTGATAAAAGAAATTTTTACATATTGAGATACAGGGACGTTGTTCTGGCTTCTACATGAGTTAGCTTGAATTTGATGCTAACTACAACAGTCTTTTTGTGGCCGATCAAACATACACTGCACATCTGCTTTAATTATTAAAGAAAAGGGCGCATTGACCAGAAGTAAAGAACATCCATGTTAAAAATAAAAATTAAATGCCCCTCTTCCTGGGACACCAATGCTGGTTACTCCTTCGATCATAAGGCTCCCTCCCAGGTGCCAAGCCCACGCTGACTCGCTGTGTACCTGCTGGTCTGGTTTTTTTTGAAACCTCGGAGAAATGCATCCCTGCCTTATTTAATGGTCTTTGTTCTGACAAGACATAAATCTGTGCTGAAAACCCTGCTACTCTGGAGCAGTTTCTCAGAGTAACCTGGGAAGAGGGCTTCTGGGCTCTAGTCCTCAGTCTGGCTCGAATAAAACTGTTCTGTTCTTATTATTGATTGGTTATTGATTACTTTCCGCAAAAAAGCCCGGCAGAACAGGACAGCCTCTCTCTCTGGCTCTGCCTTACCTGCAAAACTGGGCAGGCTCCCACCCGCAAAGCCCTCCCTTCTGCCCTTAGGGGTTACTAGGACACTTCAAATGAATGTAAATAAAACTAAAGGAATTTCTTAAAAAGACACATAGAACAACCAGCTGGACAACTGGCCTCCTGACCAAGAGGATGGACTCTGAAGGGCTTCCTCCTTCAGAGTCCAGAGTAAGGGAGACCCCCTCCCTCCCGGGACTGGCACCCCCAGGCAGGCCCTCTGCACCTCCAAAGCCGCACCAGCTTCCCCACCGATCTCCAAGGTCGCCGCCACTTACAACCCTGCCAGGTCTGCCCCGCAGTGAGAAGCACGAGCTCCGAGTCATCGGGGACACTCCAGAAGTAATCTCCAGTAAGCTCCGTGCCATCCTCGTAGAGACACAGGGTGGAGCCGGCAACGGGGAGCTGGGAAGAAGGGGGGGAGGGGAGAGCAGGGTGGGATGCTTACTTCCTGGATCTCGGGTGGCCCAGTCTTGGGATGGCGGCCTGAGGTCTTCCCATCTGCAGCCCTCACAGAGAACAAGAAGGAACTACTACGCTGTAAAGAATCCCACTCGAGATGCAGTCTGCACGTACAGAGCACGTCCAAACGAGGGCACCTACTGTAGGTCGTTCTAAGACCTGGAAAGTCATAGAAATAGATACACGGTGATAACCGCTTTGCAGGATTCACCACTCGGACCCTTCAAACCGAGCTCCTCCAGGGCACTTTAAAATCCAAGCCTGTGGGCTTCCCTGGTGGCGCAGTGGTTGAGAGTCCCCCCGGCCAATGCGGGGGACACGGGTTCGTGCCCCGGTCCAGGAGGATCCCACATGCCGCGGAGCAGCTGGGCCCGTGGGCCACGGCCACTGGGCCTGCACGTTCGGAGCCTGTGCTCCGCGGCGGAAGAGGCCGCGGCGGTGAGAGGCCCACGTACCGCAAAAAAAAAAAAAAAAAAAATCCAAGCCTGCTTCCAAAAATGACCCTTGACTGCTTGCACTAAGCCTGTAAACACATCCCCATCAATGAGGCTCGTTGCCTGACAGGTGTCAGGACATCTCACCTAAGCTCGAGTTTCTCCCTGGGCACCAATTAGTTAAGGAGAACATCTTTACTGAGCAGGACCCACCGCCTCTGGCCACGGAAGTGTGATCAGCACGAGGGACTCTTAACTTGCTGAGGTTTAGTCCTCTGTTGCTCTACACCAATCAGTTTTATGAATTTTTTTTTTACATCTTTATTGGAGTGTAATTGCTTTACAATGGTGTGTTAGTTTCTGCTCCATAACAAAGTAAATCAGTTATACATATACATATGTTCCCATAGCTCTTCCCTCTTGCGTCTCCCTCCCTCCCACCCTCCCTATCCCACCCCTCTAGGTGGTCACAAAGCACCGAGCTGATCTCCCTGTGCTATGCGGCTGCTTCCCACTAGCTACCTATTTTAGGTTTGGTAGTATATATATGTCCATGCCACTCTCTGGCTTTGTCACAGCTTACCCTGCCCCCTCCCCATATCCATTTTTAATAGCAACTCCTCCCCTCTCCCCCACCCCACACATGCACACACAACCCCAGCACTGGTCTAAGCCCAGTCGAAGAAATTAATTCAATAAGGGTAAGAACAATGGTTGAAATACCTAGAATATTCGTGCCAAAGGGCTTTTAGAGGCCTCTGAGCCCAACCCTTCATTCTACACCAGGGGAAACCAGGCAGGGAATGGCCTGTGCCCTGGAGCACTTGAGCCTACCAGCACTGGAACCAGGTCCCTGGGTCTTAGGCCAGAGCTGTCGTGATCCTCAGGTCAGAAGGGGTAAGTTTCCCAGGCCTCTCTACAAAGTCCCCCTGCTCTGACGGGGCCGAGGACCCAGAGGAGGAGGTTGGGGGCTTCTCCGCAGCACAGGAAATGGGAATTCCCTAGGGCCTAGATGTCTCCCACACTCCCTGGTTTTGAGGCACAAAAGCAGCACCTCCTATTCTCCCCAAATTTCTCCCAAGCGGGTGGGTTCCTGAGCGCTGGGGCAGAGGCTTCACTCAGGCTATCTGCTGAGATGCGGCACCAGGCACCAGGACCCAGAAGCCGGGATGGACCCCAATTCCCCCGCCCCCCGCCTGCAGCCCCCGCACCTACAGAGGCTGGGCTAAGAGGCTTCTGGCATAGCTAGACAGGGGTTTAAACACCGGCCATTCCTCAGTGGCTATGGCACGTTGCTTAGTCGCTCGGTGCCTCAGTTTCCTCATCTTTGAAATGGGGGTGTTAGCGCCCGATTCACAGGGCGACAGGTGGACTCCACGAAAGCCCATGTAAGGAGCCAGGATGGAGCCCCGGGGTCTGGCACGTGGCCGTCGGCAGTGGTCAGGCTCAGGCTTTCCGCCCTGGGGATATGGACAGTGCCCCCTCCCAGCGACTGTCATTACTCGGGGACGCACTGCGGCTCGGTGCAGCCTGAGCTCGGCCAGTCCTGACAGTGCAGGACGATGCGGCAACATCTTCCCAGCTCAAAAAGAGTGCTCTGGGCAGGCTCGCTCAGTCAGACTCGCCCCACCCCACCCCCGCCCCACCCCAACCGCCACGCGGCCCGGGGCGCCCGCAAGCAGAGGCCCGCAGCCCATCGGCCCCCAGCTCCTCAGCCCGGGGAGCACCTGCAAGCGGAGGCCCCCCGACCCCGGACCCCGGGGCACCTGAAAGTGGAGGCACCCCTTCCGCAGCACTTCCTCGCAGTTCCTGCCCGCCACCCCAAATTTCTTCTGGTTGTGCAGGGCCCGCAGCTTGAACCTCTTGAGCTTCTGGAGCACCGCAGACATCCTCAGAGCCTCCGGCCCCGCGGGCGGCGCCTACGCGGCGGGCCGCACCGTGGGTCCGCGCCTGAGGGTTTCCACAGAGGGGAATCAAGGCCCCGCGCCGCCCCCCCCCACCCCCGAAACTACACTACCCAGAAGGCCCGGGAAGCGGCGGCACGACCCCGCCTTGTGCGCAGGCGCCGTTCCATGAAAACTACATTACCCAGAAGGCCCAGGAAGAGGCGGTGCGACTCCGCCTTGTGCGCAGGCGCGGCGGGGCAGGGTTGCGCACGCGCGGAGGTCCGGGCGGGCTGGCCTGGTTGTCATGAGAGCGGTGGCCGCGGCCCGGGCAACAGGCGCTGGCGGCCGGGGCTGCTCCTCGGCTGCCACCACTGCTGCGGCTTGGGGGTGTCGGCAGGCCCGGGTCGGCGGAGGAGGCGCCTCCTGAGCTCCGCCGAGGCGCGGCGCTGCCGAGGGCCGGCGGAGAGCCCGGGTCGTGCGGACGTCCTGACAGGTACACTAGCGGGCTGGGGGCGCCGGGGCCTCCGTGGGCGGCGGGGCCTCCGTGGGCGCGGCCCGCGCGCTGCGTCACCGCCCCGGGCGGCCGGCGGCGCCAGCGCTTGGTCCCTGCGTTTGGCGGCGGTGCGGGCTCAGCGACCCCGACTCGGTGCTGAGCTGGCTCTTCAGCCTCGTCTGTTTCGGGGATTCTCAGGGGCGCTCTCGCGTCTAGAGGTTGCTTGGCCAAAACACCACTTCAGTGTGTGTAACGTTTAGGTTTTCCTAAGAAGGGAACTGGATACAAGTCTGTCTCCTAGTCTTGTAGCAAGATGTTCGGAAGTTGGTAAAGTGTTTCGATTTAACGTAGAGATTCAGTACCCCGGTGCATAGTGAAAAGCAGACTTCGTAGGAGGAACCGCCGAGTTACCTTCTCCCCACGGTCCCAGCTCGTCCCGCGGCGCGGGGGAGAGTGATCGCTGCTGGGGAAGATGCAACCGGCGCTCGTTTTGAGGCGAGGACCGCTGTGCACCGGGGCCCCACACTCGACAGAGCTTTGGTTCTCCCCGAAATGTTAGTGTGATTTTTATAGAGCCCAATACTAGTTTCCTTAGTGACACCCCAAGTATCTTAGGGAAGACTTGAAGGTTTACGCAAAGGGGACCCTAGGGTACAAGGCGGAAGGACGTGGCCATAAAGGAGTCCTGTTCGAATTCCCAAACCGATGTAATAGCGTTGCCTCTGCAGTTCCCAGGCACTTCTCGTGTCTGGTTCCTAAATGCCAGGACTGTGTTTTGGATTTATTGAGGCATCACAGTATAGTGGACACGTCCTTTATTCGGATCTAAAGGGCCCCATTTCTAACTCTTAGGGCCATAACCGAGGCTGTTGGTCAAGACCAGGCTCTGGAACCTCCTGACCAGCTTTAGAACAAACCCGGCCTGTTTGGCTTCATAGCCGGATGACCCTGGGCCAGGCCTCTCTGTGCCTCAGTTTCCTCGTCTCTACAGCTGGGGTGTCAGAGTTGTGATGAAGGTATAAACATGTATGCATCTGCACACAAAAGTATGGTGTAAGGGAGTAGGTCAGTACACAGGTCAGCAAGATGAATAAACAGTATTTCAGATCTGGAATTTCAGGATACATGATCACACTCAGTTGAAAATATTTCATAGGTACCTACTGTTTTTAAGGTGGGATAGAAAGTAACAGGCCCTGCTCTTAAAGGTGATGGAAGGACACAGGCATCTAACTCTGAGCTTTAATAAGTTTGGAGGGACTTTAGAATCCATGACAGAAGGCGGGGGTTAGAACAGCAGGTTGGGCTTGAGGAGGGTTCCTCCGTGGGGGCAGTACTCCACGTGGGGAAACCTGGCCGTTGTTTTCTAGAGAACACAGTGGGATCCAGAAGAGGTGACGTATTCAGTCACTGTTCCAAAGGTGGGACCAGTGAGACTTGGCACTGAGGGAGAGGGGACGGGGGAGGGGGAGGTATGGAGGCCAAAGGGAGAGTCAGTCCAGGCTGCGAGCCCCGGCACGTGGGAGGCCAGTCCACGTCTGGCATGGGAGCTGGCACACAGGCCAGGCTGTGCAGTTGCCGTGGGCTAAATCACACTTGTCCATTTTTTGTGCCTGCATTTTATTACTTTCTGGGTTAGTTTGGTTTTCTCTTCTGTGATATCCTGCAGTGAGCTTTGTATAAAAAATAACTGGGATCTTTAATAGTGGTTTCCCTTTCTATTTTAAATGCTTTTGTTCGTATATTCCAAGAAACATTAGCGAGTGCCACAGCCAAGAATTAATTTATTGCCGTGGTCCCCTCTGCGGGTTCTCAGTGAAAGTCAAAGGAGGATCTAGATCATGTATCAAGCATGTTAAAACAAACACATCTCATGTGGGATAAGCTTGTGTGTCACCTCCTCCTGAAAATCTCCATTAGTAGTATGTCCTACCCCAGAGAACTTTCTGGAGAAGTCTTTATTCTCTGTGTTAGTGAGGACTTTTGGTTGCATACTTCAGTCACATTGGCCGACTGAGGAGCATCGACAGGCTTAGTCCCTGGAGGGTAACCGGAAGTCCATGAGTTGCTCGGGCTTTAAGTCCTGAGGCTCACGCGGTGTCTCTGCCTCTCTCAGCACTGCTTCCCGTGTCAGTTCCACTCCCCGCCTGGATCTCCCCACTGGTGGCCTCCAGCAGCCCCCCCCCCCCCCCCCGCCCCCGCAGACACTATGCTATGGCCACAGCCTCCGCAGGGTCCTGGGATTGAGTGGCTTCGGTCCGGTTTGGGTCCTGTTCTCATGTCTCCATCCCTGAGCCCGTTCCTGAGGAGGGATGTGGAACTCATGGACCCCCCAAGCCTGGGAAACGTGCCCCCTCAGGCGGGGATCTGTGGGGGGCAGGATGGGCGTCAGCCCCACAGTTCCGGGTGTGGGGAGGACAGAACCACCGAGGGACATTGGGATTGAGGTGCTGTTTTCAAAGGAGTGGGCAAAACTGGGCGTCACTACAGCCACCCTCAAAACGATGGTAGGTAACTATGAGCCAAACCAGCTTTGCTAAAACATCAAGACAAGAAAATCATTCAGCTGGTATTTGCGCATCTGCCCAGAGTCAGCCACTCCGCCAGGCTCGGGGAGAACACCTGTGTGTTTGAGGTTCTGTCCGTGGTTCTGTTCTCCCTGCTGATCAGCATTTTCATTTAGCAATGATTATGCTGTTGATTAAACTGCCCCCTTTCCCCTTATTTTTGTATAACTCATTAGCACACTGGTTTATTATTTCCTTAATAATTTGAAAATCTTTATATTCATATCTTATCAAAAGACCTTGTTTTTGCCATAACAAAGTAACACGAACTGGATGACTTAAAACCACAAAAATTTATCCCGGAGGCTAGAAGTCCAAAATCAAGGTGCGCTTGTGCAGGGCCACGCTTCCTCTGAGGGCTCCTTCCCGGCCCCTTCCAGCTTCTGCTGCCTCCACACAGTACTCAACGTGCCTTGGCTTGTAGATGCAGTGCTCCAGCTGCTCGGCCATTGTCACTTGGCTTCTCCCTGTCTGTGTGTGTGTCCCTGTCTCTTTTCTGATAAGGACACAAGTCATGTTGGAGCAGGGCCCATCCTATTCCAATATGACCTCATCTTAACTTGCTTACGTCCCCACTGTTTCCCAACGAGGTCACGTCACTGGCACCAGGAGTTAGGACTCAGCATAGCTTTGGGGGGACACAGTTCAACCCACAACGCTGGTCAAACTTTTTGGCATATATTTGGGAAAAGTCAAGAGGCATCTTAAAAATTGTGTAATAGGAACTGGACTCTTTCAAAGTGATGGGACAGTCCTGACTAGGTTGGGAATTACTTCGTGTATTAACAAGGCAGGAAGTAATGCTTTCAATGTCACCATGTACTATTAAGTCCCTTAAAGCAGCCTTTCCTGCTCTCACACACAGCCCCGACGTGCAGGATGCCCCACAAGATCGGATTCGTAGTTGTCAGCTCATCTGGACACGAAGACGGCTTCAGTGCCCGGGAGCTAATGATCCATGCACCGACTGTCAGCGGGTGGAGGTCACCGAGGTGGGCCAGACGGGGGGCCAAGGGCGGTGGGTCCTCAAGGGCGCATGGGTTCTCTCCGTCTCAACTGCTAGTCTTACTACAACTCAGATGGCAGAACCACACGAGGGTCGGGTTGTGCTGCAGACTCACCCATCTAGTTATGCGCTGGACTTTTTTCCTTCTGTTTTTAAAGAAAATTTGTTGAACCTTTTTCCCTATAACATTAACCCACATTCACTTAAGAAGCATATGCAGATACGGAAGAGAGGAAGGAGAACTGCCCCTCCCCCAGTTCCCTGACTGAGGGCCAGTCCCGCATTCTCTGTGCTTGGTGGTAAAGATTTTGCATCTCACTGCTTTCATGTAACACAGGACTTTAACCAAGTCTCTTTCAGACTCATCTGGAATATTTGTACACCTTTAAAAGTCTTCATTACTTGAGTGATGTAATACCAGTGAGTATTTTTCTGAAACATTTAAGTCTTTTCCTGAGAAGCCTTCATTCTTCCCCAAAGGTGGGGCAGAGTTAGTTGTCGGCCGTCTGAGGCCACTCACCTCCTGGTCCCCTCACCTCCTCGGGGAATCTCACTCCTCATGACTTGTTTTCCAAGTGTGAGTAGAAGGCTTACTATTTGCTCCTATTCATGAACATGTAAATCTGTATGACATTTACATTCAGTCATATACTGTGACTTACATTTATTCAGATGATATATTGCTAAAAAGTTGAACGTAAATCCCATTTAAAATTCAAATATATTTTCCTTTTGGCGTTTCTGAGGGAACCCAACAAACAAGACTCCATTCTCAATGAACTGAGAAATGAAACAAAAGAGTAGAGCAGATGGGGACAAATAGCCTCTTTAATGCTGATGAAGCTGATATTGAACAAGGGCTTTATCTGGGCGGCGCGCAAGTACGCATCCCAGGACTGGGCCAGCCAGGGCAGCCTCACCAGGTCCAAGGGGGCTGGAGGAACACCTCCATCAGGCAGCCTCAGTCACATCCACGCTCCCCCCAGACTGACAAATCAGTCCAGTCCTGCTTCTCCCCAAGCCCAGGGGCCCGGAGTGAGCTGCGGCCACGGTTTTATGCAAATACACTTGCATTCCCCACACACACACACCTGCATTTCCCTTCAGCAGAGGTCCTTCCTACTAAATGCACTTATTCAGCATTTATGCATGAATTAAAGGTACTTAAATACACAGACAGGGCCGCTTTTTTGTAATATTTATAAAAGTAATACTGATATGGTTCTTTCACGTCTTGACATGGTATTTTTTCTAAGGCATGACCTATACTTGTTTTAGTAGTAAACTTTCAGACTGCTTCAAAGGAAAGGGTATATGTGCCTTGATGTCCATTCAGACTCATGCTGGGTTTGGCTCGGGGGTCTCCTGACTTCAACAGTGTTCTCTGAGGTCAAGCACATCATAAGAAGGCAAAGGAAAGTAACCTCAAACCAAGTCTCCCGAAGAGAGGACAGGGTGCTCTGTTAGCCCAGGTCAAAGAGGGATTGCTCAGGCACTGATAGATATAGCTCCAGTGGGAGGTGGTCCTGGGGGTCTTTACAAGGGTGCAAGGGAAGTTTCTCCAGTGCCTTCTATGACCTAGGAATTCATAGAGCCTGAAATCTTCAGGGCATGAGACACACTTCTCCAAGAGAACACAAAGTTTACACCAATGATCAGAGCCTCTGGGCATGAATTTTTTATTGTCAAATAATATTCATTCGGAAAGAAATCTAGGGAATTCCCTGGTGGTCTGGTGGTTAGCACTCAGTGCTCTCACTGCTCCGGGCCTGAGTTCGATCTCTGGTCGGGGAACTAAGATCTTGCAAAACGCACAGCATGGCCAAAAAAAGAAAGAAATTTAGAGCTGTCAGTTTATCTTGAAGAGATACATACCTTTTTAGGTAATAATCAACTTTAAAAATAAAATAGCCAGTTCTTTTACCTACAAAATGAGTTTATTGCAGAATGGCAGAGGAATTGCAATTCGGGACATGCAAGCTATGGTGAAACCATAGGCAAGTCTGGGGAACAAAGGAGAGAGAGAAACCTCACTTTACCTTGCTTTATAGAGAAAAGGAGGAAGTTGGGAGGGGCTGCTTTGAGTGAAAGTCCATTGGAGGAAAGCAAGGATTCAGGGTGGTGGCAGTGTCTCATTGGTTGGGCTGTTCCTGGACAAGTAGAAAATCTTCCTTCTCCTGCTGGGGCAGTAATGTCAGCTTCTTCTTGCCCAGGAATGAAGGAAGATATGTGCCTGAGTGCTTCCCCTTCAGGGCTCCCCTTCTCCATTTTAATTGAGGTTTCCTTTTATTAATTGTCATATTTCCCCCTTTTGAACAAGAACTTTCTCCAAAAGTATCACTGATCAAGAGTCAGGTTGTCCGCATTTAGTGGTTTTTGTCCTTCAGTGTCAGGAAGGACCTTTCCTATTTGTCACATCCAAAGTCGGAGGGAAAGTACATAGCAGTAGGAAACCGTTTAAGGCCATGTTTGAGTAACAGGGAAGGTTAGAAGGGAAGACTGTCAAGCATTCCTATCTAAAGTGTACATCTTGTCAAGGTTGTGCACGTTGGAGATCTCAAAGCATTGAGCCAACATCACTCTATTGCGTACATCATTTCTACAAAGGTTTAACATGTAACAGGTACAAAGGTTAAAAATAATTATGCAAAACAAAGTTTAAAGTAACATGACAGTTCCAAATTTTATGATAGTTCTGACCCATGACCCTAGGCCTGAAGGTAGCCAGCTGAACAAATCCAAGGACCATGGAATATCAGGTGAAAATCTTTTGCAACCAGTGCACTTGCTCCCTGATTTTGTTTAATTGGATTTCTACCTCTCCTGAGACATTTATCCATGTGCAATAGATGGTATTTGCTATTGTTCCAACACCTCCTTGCTCAGCAAATAGGTAACTGGGGGCTATGCACTTACCTAAAACTACTTTAGCTAATAAGTTAAGTGAACGATGTTGGGCTGCTACTCCTTCGGCTGTGGAGTTGGCCAGCTCTTCTAATGTTAGGAAGAGATTTCTAATCATGTGTTCATTGGCATCTACTCTGATGTGGGGAGAAGGGCGGCTCTCCCTACAGAGGCAAACCTGGGGTCATATACGCCTGCTGGAAGTTACCACGTAAGGCAGCTAAGGAGGTTTAACGCAATAGACCAATGGGAGGTTTCTGATCTGTTATGAAGAGAAAGTAGAACAGTGAATACAGCAAAAGCACACTGTTCTTTTACCCTCCAGCTGTCAAGATGATGAGCTGCCCAAGCTGGGGGCCATTACCAAGGCTTCCACATATAGAAGAGTAACCGGGAGGAACACGTAGGACCCCCTCATCAGTAGTAGCGTTTATGGACTCATTTGTCGGTATCAAGGACTTGGCGTCATTCAGCCAAGACTCACGTGTGATGTTATCACATACTAAAAGTCTTCCTAAATATATGGGCATGACAGCCAGCTTACAAACGGTCTGGCTCAAATTGACTGCTCCAGTGTCTTCTGTATGTATATTCAAGAGAGCTTAAATTAAGCCAGGGAACAAGGGCATGCAGATTTAGTAGTCTCACCTTATACAAGGGACCTGCGGAACAGTTTAGGTACAGAGTGGCACTTGGGATTCCAGAGAAGTTACTTATAGTATGAGTAGGGGTCACTGCTGTCATGGACAGATCAAGGTTTCTGGTGACAAATCCAACAATCAGAGAGGTTTCCCTCTTTTGCAGTAGATCAGGAAATGTGCATAAAAGCAATGTCTGTCCAAGGTAGAGAGGGAGAAAATAAGGTAAGAAGCAATAGTGAGAAAAGGGTATATGGGCCTGGTGCATCTTGGGAAGCTGTCTCATCAGATGCTGTCTGTTTCAATTCCTGGAAATCTTTACTTTCAAGTTGCCAGTTGGTGTGCAGGTCCACTCAGGGCTTGGTGTTTTCTTTAGAGGTGACATGAATCCAGGAGTCCATTCCTTGGAGCTTAGCAGCACAAGGGTTGGTTAGCAGTACCTGATAGGGGCCTTTCCAGTGAGGTCGAAGGGAATCCTTCTTGCAGTGTCCCTTATGGTAGGTGGAATCTCCAGGTTGCATGGTGTGATACTTAAGGTCTTCATCTCCTGGGAGTACACTATGAAAACATTACTAAAGTGTGATTACTTTCAGTGGAAACAGTAAGGCCCTTACAATATTGAAGTATATCTCCGTTTATCAGCTGTGGATCAAAGGAGGCGGGAACCAGGTGCATTGGGCTTCCTGTGACTGTCTCAGAGGGTGAGCATTTGTGAGTTCCCAAACTGGTGGATCTGAGATTTAGAAGGGCCAACAGTGATGCTTTTGGCCAAGGTATTTGGAGGGTCTCTACAAATTTTGCCAGTTGGGTCTTAATGATGTCATTAATGCGTTAGACTAGCCCTGAGGATTGAGGATGGTAAGACAGTGGAAGTGTAAAGCCAGCCAGACAGCACAGACCTGTCAAAGTGTTCAACCGCTGAAGTTCAGGGGCGGGGGGGTTCTACAAATTTTGCCAGTTGGGTCTTAATGATGTCATTAATGCGTTAGACTAGCCCTGAGGATTGAGGATGGTAAGACAGTGGAAGTGTAAAGCCAGCCAGACAGCACAGACCTGTCAAAGTGTTCAACCGCTGAAGTTCAGGGGCGGGGGGGTTCCCCAGGTAGAGATGATCTTTTCTAACAGGATCTTAGCCACAGAAGAGGCAGTAGCCTGTCTACAAGGGAAAGCTTCAGTCCAGTGAGAAAATATGCAACTCATGACTAAGACATATTTATATCCCTGAGATGGGAGCAACTGAATAAAATCCCTTTGCCAGGTCTTGAATGGCCCATCAGCAATTTAATGCAGTGCAGACAGGTTTTCCTGGGTTGTGTTTTGGACAGATGGGACAAGCACGGTGGGCGCTTTTCACAGCTTTCTTCGTGTTTCTTCACCAATATTGGTTCATGAACTCTGTCATTTTGCCAGTAGACCAGTGGCTTAAGGCATGTGCAGTGGTCAG